CTCCCCTCCCCTCCCCTCCCCCAGTCAGCTGGGATCAAGTGACCCCAGCAAGAAATATATCCACTTGTTTTTTGAAGGAGTCCAGAGTAGGTGCCTGCACCACCCCTGGGGGAAGCCCGCTCCAGACCCTGGACACATACACCATAAAGAACTTTTTTCTTATATCCAGTCTAAGCTGGCCTTTCTGGAGCATATGGCCATCAGACCTTGCCATCCCAGGTCTTGATGTACCCCTCTTATGCAATCGCAGGCCACCACCAAGTCCTCCCTGAGCCCTTCCATCTCCAGACTGAAGAATCCCAAGTCCCTCAGCCTCTCCTCACATGGCTTTCCCTTCAGGCCTTGGATGATATGAGTGGCTCTCCTCTGGACCCTCCTAAGCCTCTTCATATCCTTCCCAAAATGAGGGGCCCAATACTGGACGCAGCACTCCAGCTGCGGTCCCACCAGAGCAGAGCAAAGCAGGAGAATGACCTCCCTGGTCTTGCTTCAGATTCATCAGTGGATGCATGCCAGAGTTTGGCTAGCTGTGCCAGCCACAGCATCACACTGGTGGCTCACATTCATCCCATGGTCAATCAAAACCTTGATAGGGAAAAAAGAGGTCTGTAGGCTTTCATGAGTGCACAAACCAACAATTATTAATACATGCTAGGCATGTCTACATCAGATGTCTCAGTGCATAGTAGCCTAGTTTACTATGCAGTAAGCATGCATATTTACACATGTGTACACTTACTGTGCAGTAACAACTCTTAATCATGATTAAATTCGCTACCTGCAAATGCAGGTAGCAAATTGAAGAGCAATTAGTTACTGCACAGTTATGCATGTGTAGACACAACCCAGAAACAAGTTTGCTTCCAGATCAGCTGTACCACTAGGGAGCTGGCCTGAGGATAATCCCAGGGCTCTGGGCTGGGAGCCTCTCCTGCCCCAGGGCTGGGGTGCTTCTATGGCAGCCCTTGTCTTAGACTTTAAAAGCCTGGAGACATTCTGAGCCCTGGGGCACACATACCTTGCCTGAGGGTGTTGCAGGCCCCTGTGTCCCCCTGGAGAGGTCACAGACTAACTATGCCAGCCTGCCTGCATCCCAGCACCACTGCCTGGCACTGCACTTCTGTGCAGTTGCCAGGACTGCACCATCCAGGCCCACAAGGTGCTGCAGGCTGCTGCCCGCAGATGCAGCTGCAAGCAACTTCTGGCCAGCAGGGCCAGCTCCATCTTCCCATAGCCCACCCCAAGCAGCCTGCCCAGAGCCTGCAGGTACTGTGGGGCATTGCCTCTGCTGTGAGGCTTCCAGTCCAATGCTGTGCTGTTACAGGCAGATGTGCAGGGCTGGCAGCACACACAGTCCTGCAGGGGCCCAGAGAGCTGGTGCAGGATCCCCGATGGCATCCTCCTCACCCAGGCCCATTCACATGGCCATGCCACATCTGTGCCCACCATCCAGGGCCGCAACTGGTCCAAATAAGAGACTGGTGACCTCATGGTAATGTGAGGTAAGGAAGAGAAGCAGTGCCAGCTCAAGCAGGGTAACCATTCCACTTGCCTACATCTATGACATGCTGTCAGGCCAGATGCAGGAACACAGGCACCACCACTGCATAAAACTGAAGGCCTTGTGGGCACAGTGGGTCACAGTGACCAACCACAATCGTCAATCCAGCAGTGTCTTCAAGTCCATGCCCTTTATAAGGCAACTGACAAACACCCTTGTGCCCCATGACCCTGGCAGCAGCTGTGCTGTCTATGACAGCACAGGTGGCCTGACCAAGCCCCCACCCCAGCCTGGCAGCCCCAGTGACACATCACTGGAGGAGGGCCCCTCAGGTGTCCAGTGGCCCATCCCACCAAGCTCCCCAGCTACAGTCTCCACCAGCTGGGAGCCTGGGTCAGTGCCTGCCTTGCCAGTTCTGGAGCCCCATGGCCACCCAAGAGGTGCAGCCATCCATGACACTACCAGCTGCCAGCAGCACCAGGTCCTCCCCAGGGCAGGCTCCCAGCCAGGCACCTGCATGCCACCCCCTGCCATCTGAGGACACCAGCTGAAGCCACATGCCATCACCAACAGCCAGGACTAAGCAGAGCCACTGCAGCTCTGGTCATGCCAGCCGCAACCACATGAACGAGTGGTGCCTCCCAAAACTGGGGGGGCACAAGTGTGGGCGGCAGCGTCAGCAGTAGAGTGGCAAGCAGCAGTGTCAGCAGTGGAGCAGCAAGCAGCAACCAAATGCAAAAGCTGGCAGTGGTGACAGTGGCAGTGCAGGGGGTTGTGAGCAGCAATTGGCAACCATCCACAGAAGCTGGCAGCAGTGGTGGCAAATGGTGACTGCACGCAGAAGCTGGTGGTGGTGGTAGGGGGGGTTGGGATTGGCAGCAGTGAGTGGTAAAGGGTTGCAGAAGCCAACAGCAGTGAGTGGTGACCCCCCACAGAAGCTGGCAGCAGCAGTGGGGTGGGGGAGAAGTGACAGCCCACAGAAGTCAGCGGCAGCAGTGGCTAGGGGGGGGCACATGCCCCTCTATACCTCCCCTACGAGGCACCTATGCCATGTGGTAGGCTGCCCCTACCCCACTCCATGCCTGGCCCACCCACACTCCCGTGGCCCCAGGTCCCCGCCCCCAACCCCCCACAGCACTCAGGGAGACAGTGCAAAACTTCACTGAGAAGTAGGGCCATGCGAAGAATTGTGCAGTGATGCGAATCAGAGGAGATTTGGCCCAATTTGGCATCCAAATCTCCAAATCCAAACTGAATCGGGGGACCAATTGAAAGGTCTGAATCAATTCAAAGTTCTCCAAATCTTTTCTGAAGATTGGACAGCTTCAAATCAATTCGGATAGTCCCCGGTGGCTGCAGCAGGGTGCTTTTATTTTCTTTACCTGATGCATAAATGTGCTACTTGCAGTTACAGAATTGTTCAGAAACATCATCTTTCAAGTGATCCCAGGCTAGTTTCAAGATGTGACCCACCTGTGTGTTTCACTGGGAAAATGGTAGCCAAGTTCAAACACTGAAGATATTGTACATCAAATGGTAACAATTATGTAGCATGTAGAGATCCATATGGTTTCTGTATCTTGAATGAGGTACTGGAATAGAAGTTTTGTTTTGTTTTGCTTTGCTTTGCTTTGGGAGGGGTTAATTAGCTGGATATAAGCATGATTTGCATGAAGTCTCAGTGAATGGACTGAAGCAAATGCAAACTGGAATATCGAGCCTTGCATGGTCATCAGTTGATGCCAACTGTCACTGAGCCCTGACCTATCAAAATAAGACTGACAGCAAAGCAGTAGAGACAGATAAGCCTGAAATACTTGGGTGCTACAGCTATATATTATACTAAGAAATGACATGTGAGCCCTCTAGGTGATCTATACATTATCCAGGCATCCAGTTTTTTAATATTCTCAGCTGCATTTGTGGGAAATGTGTGACTTGGAGCACAACCATTTGTTTTAGTAATGAGCTATTTCTAATGCGACTATGTAATGTTGATTGGTGACAGAGTGTTGATGCCAAGCTTAGGAGGAGTGCTAGAAATAACACCCTTCCTTCTCCAGAGTCTGAGATAACTGCATGAGTAAACTGCAACAACTAAGCTATTATAAATACAAGACATAGCATTGGCAGATAAGGGTTTTATGGTTGGGAGGGAAATGGTAGAGTCTCTTTAAAATGCTTGGAAGCTGATATCTTTAAAGTGGAGTATGGCAGAAGATCAAAGGTAAGTATCTCTAGAAATTCCTGTGCATTGATAGTGAAGCTGGATTATTTCAGCCTTCTAAAAAATAAAATAAAATGAACATAACCTAATTAGTTTATTTCCATCTCCTGGCAAGGTTCTGAGGAGAGGCATTTATAGATGTGTAGTGAGTGATGGTTGTTATATACTATTTTCTGAAAAAAAGATCTTTAATTAACAATTGCAGGTTTTATTGTGAAATCATTAGCAACAAAAGCACAGCACTGCCCAATACTTGCAGAGGAGGTTAAAGGAGTGGTGGACTAGATTTTTAAAAGTATTTAAATACCTAACTTTGTTGTAAAAATTAGACACAGTAAACTTAAAACCTGGCCTTGTGTGCCTGCTGACCTTAAGCAGCTTTTACGCAACATTGCAACTTCACACTCTCTAACTTTTGGGGGTGAAGTGGGATATTACTTATTTATGCACTTCAGTACAATTTGTAGTCACTGTTCGCAAAGTTTGCTAATGGAAAAAGGTTGTACTACCTATGTGTATATGGCTATAATAGGTGTGCAGCAAATGAAGCAGTGCTCTCATGGAACGCTGCCTCAATCTCCTTATGTGAGACAGTGCATTCGGCAAAAATTTAATCTTTACTGTGTCAAAATAAATTACACTCTATAAAGCAGGAACTTCTAAGGATTACAAGAACAGAATATTTTCCTTTAAATTAATATGGGACATATTCCTTTTTTTAAAATTCCATAATAGGGTATGACAATCTTATCAGATAACCTATGGGATTTTAAACTACAAGAAGGTTAAGGAGATCAGAATGCATGTTTAGCATTAAGCACCCAAAGGCATTCAAAAACCATGTACCATGTTATGGGTTGTAAAAGGTTACATGATTTTTTTAAAATGCATCTGGAGGCTAAGATATCCAAAAGTTCCCATGGAAAGTGCAAAAATTCAAATCAATTAAAAGTTTAATTTACAAAGAAAAATATAACAACAAAGAACTACATTTACAACCATTTTTCCACAGTCAGAATGGCAGTTTTCAGTGCTCGATTTTAAAAATGTAAATGCCTCCATGGATTCAAGGCAGTGACAAAACAGTTTTGTCACCTACCCAATCACTAAATTACTGTGAGTGAAATTCTGGCCCCATTGTCATAAGTTTTGCCACTGACTCTTATGGAGCCAGTATTCCATTCCTGGTGATTAAAAAAGAAGAAAAAATTACAGAAATGGTCTATTAGGGTACAAAGCATTTCTATAAAAGTGTGAAACACACACACACGCGTACATATACACACACACACACACATTCAGTAAATTTAAGAATTCAGATGCCCAACAAACCCTAAGGCACCCTCCAAAATGCCATGCATGTCAGAGATTTTATATGCAAGTACTAAACTTGCAGCAATACTACAAACCAAGGTTTTACTATTAATTAGCACATGTGAACTAACTAAGTCAGTGTTCTCACTAGCTGTCTCAGTAGGCTAGACTCTTCTTTGCAGAAACCATACCACACCTGAAATTAAATTTCACCCTCAGATTTGTTCTAAATTAGGCCAGTTACAAAAGCCCCTAATGGGCAGTTCTTCTGTCCCTGCCTCCTCTGCTGGGGGTGAGGCAAGGCATACAGCTGGGTATGCTGGCTTTCTTCACGTAGAACCCATGGGCAGACATTACCTTTGTAGCACTACAAACACCCTTATAGTGTGAAAAAAGCAAGACTACAAATGTGCTTCACCAAGTCTAGGGGTTTGATTTGTTTCCAACAAGACACTTTTTAAAAGGTTTTCCACATCTTAATAGTTCCAGCAAATTCATGCCATCTGAACACATCTCCAACACCAGTCATTAAATTACTCAGGTGGACTCTGCCTCATAGGCTGCCAGCTAAATGGTGATGGGACTTAACTTACTGCACTGTCAAGGACTTTTCACATAAAACTAGACTGGAGGCAGTGTGTGGGAGGTGGCAGCATGTTCCATCCCTGCCTGAATCTGATTGGTAGAAAACAGCAGGGGAAAGAACTGGCTCTGAGCCAGTGGAAGACAGAGAATACGAGGCTGAAGAACAGGTGGGGCCCTGCCATAGAAACCAAGCATTACAGTCTTTAAACATTTCCTAGGATTTAATTTTGCTATTAGCTATATAGAGAAATATAATTGTTTTTTATATATTGGTCTCTGTCTGTCTGTCCATCTGTCTGCCTACATATTTTTCGGGGGTTAATCTATTTTTTGTTTTATTCCAGCTCCTTCCTTCTTATTGTAGGCATCACTGAGCACATCTACACGAGATGTTTACTGCAGAGATGATTAATTAGCTCCGCAGTAAAACATCAGCATCTACATCTGCGACACTATTAGGCCGGAATAAACTAATTTACTCCAGCACAGGATAGTACTGCTGGACACAAGTACGATCCTGTGATGGAGTAAATAATTCCACTGCAATCCACATATAAATGGGAACCAGGCTGGCTAGGGCACAAGGGTGCTACAGTCTACAGGCTGCCTGCCAGCTAGCCCCATATTGTAGCACTCTCACGGCCCAGCCAGCTCCTCTGCAGCACGTTGAGGTAGGGGAGCAGCCCCGGGCTGGCAGGTTGACTCCCTAGGCCTCTTGCCAGCCAGGGCTGCTCTGAACCAGCTCAACATGCTGCGCTCCCAAGTACATGTGTAAGTAAACCTTTATTGCTTCACCATAATATCACAAAGTTTCATAGTTGGTAGGGTCAGAAGGGACCTGAGCAGATCATCAAGTCTCCCCCCCTGCCATGGGCAGGAAAAAATGCTGGGGTCAAACAGCCCCAGCTAGGTGTTCATCTAGCCTCCTCTTAAAGACCCCCAGGGTAGAAGCCAGCACCACTTCTCTCGGAAGTTGGTTCCAGATCCTAGCTGCCCTGACAGTGAAGTAGCGCCTCCTGATGTCTAGCCTGAATCTACCCTCTGCCAGCTTGTGACCGTTATTTCTAGTCACTCCTGGGAGTGCTCAGGGGAACAGGGACTCCCCCAATGCCTGCTGGTCCCCTCTGACTAGTTAGTAAATGGCCACTAGATCCCCCCTCAGCCTTCTCTTGTGGAGGCTGAACAGGTTCAGGTCCCTTAGCCTCTCCTCATAGGGCCTGCCCTGCTACCCCCTGATTATCTGAGTGGCCCTCCTCTGGACCCTCTCCATGCTGTCCACATCCCTCCTGAAGTGCGGTGCCCAGAACTGGACGCAGTACTCCAACTGCGGCCTGAAAAGTGCTGCATAGAGGGGGAGGATCATCTCCTTGGACCTGCTTGAGATGCATCTGTGGATGCATGACAAGGTACAGTTGGCCTTCCTGACCGTGTCCCCACACTGTCATCCCATGTTCATTTTGGCATCAATAATGACTCCAAGATCCTTTTCTGCCTCTGCACTGACAAGAAGGGAGTTCCCCAGCATGTAGGCATGCTGCTGGTTCTTCCCCCACAGGTGCAGCACCTGGCACTTGTCAATGTTGAAACCCATCCTGTTCTCATCCGCCCACCCCTGTAACCTGTCTAGGTCTGATTGTAGTCTAGTCCTCCCTTCTAGCGTGCCCACTTCCCCCCACATGTACATGCGCCTACAGAATGGCAGCTACAAAGAGTCTTTCAAATTCTTTTTCTTAGTTGGCAAACAATGACACGCTGTAGTCTACGTAATTTTGTATTATGCAAGGTTCTGTGCAGAGATCATTTCTAGGAAGGGGGCAGAAGTTCTCAGTCGTGCCTATCTTTCAAAAATTCCAGTTACACTCCTGTGAAAATGCTCAGGCTGTACAAAACCTGTTGGCATTTGGGTGTTTTTACATAAGTAGCTGCCCTATAACAGTATAAAGACCATACAGTGGGTCTTAAAGCTTAAAAATGACTAGCTCTTCTGAATGTTTCATCACTTCATTATCCGGCATTGGACATCGTAAAAGGTGAGCACTTCTGAAAAAAATCAGGCTCCTATCAGGCATCTCAAGTTGGATATCCAGAACTCAGACACCTCAAATTAGCTGAACACTCTAAAAAATTGTGAGCCTTTGAGTCTAGATTTTTTTTGTACTTGCAAAGGACAACCATGATTAATAATTTTTTTGTGCAACTCGTGATTGACATAAAAGATCCATGATCAAAGGCCTGTCAATATAAATAAGAGAGCTTTGAGTTTGTTAGGGTTTGCATGCACAAGAAGACAAGTTCCTGTTGATTTTAATCTCCTTTGGATTATGTGATAAGCAATTAAAGGTACACATTTACTCTCAGCTATATCCCTGCAACCTTACTGAACCTAAGAAGGTTGCATGGCTGCAACTGACAGAAACAATCAAAATTGTGCTGTTTAAGCAACTTGTAGAGCAATGGCACTGCTTCTTAGCATATTTAACACTGATGAGGATATCTTAGGTTATAAAATGAGTTAAAAAAATTTGCTGAATGGCTGTCACTCTTCATAATCTTATCTGCCCTGAAAGGGAGCTGGCATTCCTTTACAAACCCCTAAACAAAAAGCCTGTGAAAGACATCATGCTAATGATAGTTTCTTCTGTTTGTTAATCTGCTTCATAAATCTATCGTTAAGCCAAAACTTTCAAATTTGGCCATCTGAAGCTAAGGACCTAAATCCATATTTATGCACCTAAAGTACATGACCCTGTTTTTATTGGCACTGTACTCTACCATTCCCATTGGCTTTTGTGAGCAGCAGGGAGGCATTTAGCAATGTTTTTAGAGATGCAGGCACTCAAAACCAGGCCACTTATATTTAGAAACTTAAATATGGATTTAGGTGCCCAACTTTAGACACTCAGGTTTGACAATGTTAGCCCTGGATAATGGAAGTAATTCATAGTTGAACAACAGCATTTTCATTTCATGGTTCTAGCATTCTCCTTACACCCTCACCTCTCAATTATGTTATCTGTCTTCTAAGCAAAGGATTTAAAATAATCCAGGACTGTGCTTCTTCCCTCTGACCTACTCATACTACAATTCTTGTATACAAGGGC